CTCCCCACCCACCCGCCCCCCCCCCCCCCTCTCTCCCCCCCCCCTCCCCCCTTTTCGCTCCTGGTGGCCTTGTCGGGTGTGTTTTTTGCCTGTTGGAAAAGTCCCTGCTGCCCAGGATGGGGGTCGGTGGGTGCTTAGCCCTGCCCTGGAGGTGCCTAGTCGTCCTCTGTCTCAGGCTGCTCTTCCTTGTGCCCGCAGGAGTGCCCGTGCGCAGCGGAGATGCCACCTTCCCCAAAGCTATGGACAACGTGACTGTGCGGCAAGGGGAGAGCGCCACGCTCAGGTAGGAGCAGCTGGATTTCTGCCTTGGGGGGCACTGGGGGGGTCCCGCTGCACGGCGAGGGTGGCCGGTGCCTTTGGGGAGGTGACTCAGTTTCCCCCACGGGGGATGCATCGTGTCGATTGGCGGTGCAGGATGGGTGCTGGGGGGCAAGCCAAGAGGGAGATTTGGGTGCCAGGGGAACGGGCTTTGGCTCAGTCCCCCAAGTCCTCTCCGGGAAAGTTACTGGGGGATGAAAAAAGGGGAGCGCGATTCTCTCTTGGCCCCCTGCCCTACGCCGGTGCGAGGCACAGGCTCGGCTCCTGCTGTCGGTAGTCATGGCTTGGGCACTTCGGCTGCGTTTGGTGGGGGTAAACACCGCTCTGCTCCTGGAGTGCAGCGCCGGGGGTGCCTTCATGCGTGTCAAAACAACCCAGCCTGGGGAAAGGGGGAGTTGTTGATCCCCTCCGTGGGGTTTTGTGCCTTTTCCCCGTGCCCAGACCTGCTGGGATGAGGGGGGGTGCAGGATGGGGCTGGTGCTGGGCGGGTGGATGCTGCCCTCCTTAAAAATCCCCTTGCTCGGGAGGCAGGGGGTTGCTGCTACCTGCCAGCGTTAACTCTTTGGGGTGGGGAGAATTGCGGGGCTGGGCGTTGCACCGGGGTCCTGTTGCCTGCGGCAGCAATCTGAGGGGTGCGGGGGCTGCCAAGACAACGGTAATTTCGATCGGCGTAACTTCTGGGACGTCTTACGCCCAGATACCCATCCCTGTCCTCGCAGCAGATGGGCGCAGTCATCCCAGAAGAGATCCTGGCGAGGATGTTTGATAGGGACATTAAAAATAAAAAGCCAGCTTTTAATTGCAGCGCTGGGAAGCGGCGCTTGCAACTCCAGCATGCTCGGGAGTGACTTTCCTCCGCTGGCGTGTTGCATAGGTGACACTAACATCTGCGGGGCCAGCTGGGTGTGTGCGGTGAAAGCCGCACTCCTGCTTTACGCCAGCGAGTGGAGCAGGGCCAAGCCAGGGCAAAAAAACCCGAGGAAGAATTTCAGCCAGGTCTCTTTTTAAGCGGTGGGAAGACTCAAACCACGGGCTCGGTTTGGCCCCTGGAAACGTGAATCCCCTCCCTATGTATTTCCCACAACTCAGTTGTTTGCAGCTGATCCTCTCTCCTCCCCCCCAGCCCTTGCATGTTCCTGGGAGGAAGGGAGGGAGCTGCGCTGTGGCCGTCCCTCGGGATTTGTCTTGCGTCATGGCACGACTGGGCAAAGAGGCTTGAAAATGGGTGGCCGAGGGTGGAGGACGGGGTGTCTCGCTTAGGAATTTGCCCCGCTGTGCTGGGCTAAAAAAAAAAAAGGAGCTCCTTTCCTCTCCTGAATCGCTGGGCTCTCCCACGCACCAAAAATCCTACAGATCTTGCCATGGGGGTATCAAAGAGGGAGGGGTTTGGGTTACTGGAGGTCTGGGCAGCAAAATACACAGGAGGGTGGCAGCAGCAGGGTGGTACGGGCACGGGTGCTGTGCAAACTTACTGGAAGGAGGTGAATTGCTCATGCTGTAGCAGGGGCTTGCAAAGGGTTTCTGGCACAGAGCGTGCCGGTGCTCTGCCCCGGCACCGGGTGCTCGCCCGGTGTCGGTGGAGAACAAAGGAAAGCTGGGGTGAGTCAGCAGGAGGGATGCTCTCCTTCTGTCTGTGAGGCCTGGTGGGAAGGGGGACAAATCCTGCCCCTGGGAGGTGGCCCTGGGGAGGGAGGGCAGCGGCTTGTCATCGCCCCAGAGCTGCCGTACGCACATCCCAGTTCAGCTGGGGAGCCTGTCTGCTGGCGAGGGATGTCCGTGTCCCTACGTAGGTGTCTGGTCCATATAAGCGTGCCCCGGGAGAGGGGCACATGGGCTTTGGGGTATGCAAACTGTGCCGATGATATTCCCCGCTGTGCCGATGATAATTCCCGCTGTCCGGCCCCTAGAGTGGGCATTGCTCTTGGAAATTAATGGCTTGCTGCTGCTGCCGGCTCAGTGCACTGGTTTGGTGGCCAGAGAAGTGGAGGACTGTTTTTTGCACTGGCATTTTGGGGCATTTTCCTTCTGGTTTGAGGTGGGAGCGGTTAGTCCGGCAGGCAGTGGTACATCGCTGCATCCCCCGGTAGGTCCCGGTCCCTGCAGCCGTGCTGCGCTGTGGCAGGAGCCGAGAGGAGAAGAGCACGTGAAAACCACACGTTTCCAGAGAAGGAAATCAAGGAATATTCCTGCCCGCTCCCCTCCTAGCCCGGCTCCCGGCGTAACCATTGATCTGTTGTGGAGGAGTTAACTTGTTCAGAATAGCAATGCCGCTCAGAAAGGCTTTGGCGGACCCCGCCGCCGCTGCTCCCGGCCACCTCCTGCCCAGCGCACAGGCAGCAGCCCTGCCCTCTCTCCAGCCCTGCCAGGGCGGCAGTCAGGGAAGGGTGCACGGGAAGGGGGGGGGGGGG